CACTGATATCTAACCATGTATAGACACTGATATCTAACCAGGTATACACACACTGATATCTAACCATGTATACACACTGATATCTAACCAGGTATACACACACTGATATCTAACCATTGAAACACAATACTATTTAACCATGTATACATGTATATGAATATCTCACTGTACACACACATTTGTGGATAATTCTAGCTTACCTCCCTTCGTTGATAAGCTCTATGAAAGCCAGACCTGCATGTTTCTGAAGAGAATTCTGCCATTCCTGGGAACAAAGGAGCATCACAAGCTCAACTACTGATGTACTGTTTTTAAATGTTGCAAGACCTAGTAAAATATAATAATCAAACTCAAGTTACTACCAACAAACTGTTTTTAAACGTTGCAAGACCTAGTAAAATATAATAATCAAACTCAAGTTACTACCAACAAACTGTTTTTAAACGTTGCAATACCTATTAAAATATAATAATCAAACTCAAGTTACTACCAACATCCCACATTGATTAGGTGGCAGGACTGGTGTGAGGGAATGAAAGAGGTACCCCCCAAAAGCATCTGAGGGATACCCCTTCAAATCAGAGAGTCAGATCCAAAGATCTGATGAGGGGAACCGCACCACTTCTGAACCAGATATACTATTCACCTATCAGTGAAATGTGTAGTAGATAAGGATGGAAAATGAGAGTGGCACATCTAAGTGGGAGAGAAGTGTCGTAGGATAGTGATCCTAACCAAGTAAATATATATGTAACTCAATCCCACAAAGTATAAAAGTTGGTAAAATAATGGATGTGCCCCTAGGTGTAGAGTGGCTAGGGACCTATGGACATACTCGGTAAGTCAGCTACATCTAAAACCCATGCTGCTGGGAATCGGTATCAACGAGGGGATAGGATGAGGATCATACCGCCTTCATCTTAAATTCAAGAGACCAGAGGGAATCTAGAACCACTCCAACTCCTGAGCATGACACATGTTAGCTTTGATCTATCGATCCGGGGACCCGACATCCAGTATCAAAAGAATGTCTATATAATATAAATCAACTCCCCCAGCAGCAAAACTGACCGGAACCATCCAACAATCAATAACACCCTCATAATAAGATACAACAAGGGATAGCAAAAAGGACAGAACCGGAAAAATCCCTCTAACCTCCACAGGAGAAGTATGATTGAGGGAAGAATATAGACAACCATAAATATATGTGAGGACTTGTGTTGATTCGTGCTACTCTCTCTTGCACATCTTAGTAACTAAGCTGTATTTGCATCTAAAAAAAATTAAATTTCAAGCAGACTAAAGACACAACCTACCTCATTGAAATCTTGGTTCAAAAGGAAGAAATGGTGCTAGCCACTTTAGAAAGGCTGAGAAAACCACTAGAGGACATTCTTAGCTTCCAATTGGTTATTCATGTCATATATAGAAGTAAGTGTATATAAGGGAACATTTCCAAAAATAGAAAGAGGTGGGCAGGGTGACACAGTGTTTGATTTATTACGTGAGCAATATCTTAACAAATAGAAAAGACAAGACCTTCTTATTTTATATTCAAGTTTGTCGATATCTGTAATTTGAGTTTCTAATTCATATGAAACTATAATATTTTGACTTCACAATCATCTAATTTGAACCAGTGCTGCATTCAACATACCATGTGACACACAAAAATCAATGTTTATCTGGTTTTTTTTATATTTACTTTAAATTAACAAATTGAGTAATGTATAGTTTTAAAATTTGAATTATAATCTATAGTTTGATACCAAACGTATTGATATAAATTAATGAAATAATAGTTCAATAAAATTTTGAATGTAAGTCAACAAATGAGATGACATGGCCTTTCACCTGTGACCTGTCTCAAAAGGGTTAACAAGAACATCATAACACTGTTGTATAAAGATCCATTAGCACATATTAACATAGCAATTTTTTCACTTTTAAAACACTACAATAATCCTGGTGTTAATGAAAAGTAATTTCTAACTAACCTTTGCCTTCTATAAGGAGATCTTGACCATGTGATCCAACTAACGTACGAGATAGAAAAGGAGAAAAATCAACCATAATTTCTCTTAATAAAGGACAAACACTTCCAAGGGCTGTTTCCAACTGATGGGTAAGTGTTGTTTCCCGTGACATTACAAGCCCATCCGGAGCACTCAAGGTAGACAGATGGAGAGTACCTGGTCTCGACTCAGCAACACTTGTCGAAGTGGTCATCACATCTACACGTTCAGAAAGTCCAACATTATGAGCTGCAGGCACTTCTTCAGCAAACTGAGATTCATTATGACACTTTTCTCTCTTCTGGGAAGATTGGTCCAATACCTGTGAATCCTCAGAATGATGTTCATTTAAAGCTTTTGTATCCAAGGAAGTTCTATCTTCTCGTGAATGCACCTAAACAAGTAAACCATAAATTATAGAAACAGGAAATGAATAAAGTTAAAAAAAAGTCACCTTATACTATTGTAAACAAATGCAACTGTTTATCAGCTGAAGGTTAAAATTTCTATACAGTTATAAGTCTATTTACTCCCTCCATCTCATATTAGAGGAAATTGAGTAAAACAGTTCTGTTACATATACATTTCAGAAAGTTAAAGTTACTACACAGTTTTAAAACTTAATTACTTAGTAACTTTATACTATCACAAACAAATGAAGCTAAAAGTTAAAATTTCTAAATAATTTTAAATCTACCCCTCACACACACACACACCAAGTAAAACAGAAATCAGAGGCAAAAGTTTACACTTTCTTAAATCCAAAATGTATTTTCAGTAATACTTACCTCCAACCTCCATCTAAGCATTGGTCTGATTTTTTCTCTCTTGTTCCAGTCTTTTATATCCCACATAACTGCCCTTGGTGATATTTGTCCCATGACACTCCCCACCTACATCAATGTGCCCTCTATCCTGGTACTGTATATATGCACCTCATTCAGATAATCTTAACACTTTTTCAAGACTGACTCAATCCTTAGTATCTAACACACAGCTCTTTGTGGGAAGGAAGGGTGGGAGTGGAGGTAAGTATTATTGGTAATACATTTTCGATTTAAGAAAATTTTTGCTGTATTTAATTACAAACAAGCAATCTCAGAGTTCTAGTAGTATATAGATTTTATGTTTGTTAAGAATAACTCTCTCTCTCCCATGATTGTTGTTCTTGTTTACACAACATGAAATATAGCAACTAAATCAAGTTTGTTTTCATAAGGATGAACTGAAAACAATCATTACATGGTTTTTATAAAAAAAAAAAGTTCTACTTAATGTTTTATTCAATTATTTTGTGATCTCTCTAAGGTTCTTAACCAAGGGATTCCATTTTTACCAATAACTTCATTCACTCAGTAAATTTAAAGACACAGAATGATGGGGTCGTGTATGCCTTACTCAACCTGAGGAAACAGAACTCATTCAGTCTGGAATTATGCATACTCATCCTCACTCCCCAACCATATGGGCAAGGTAACTTCCACTTGCCCCAAGAATTATGGGGAGGACGTGGAACAAACTGTGCTCAACCAAGGACCCAGGATGGGACCACTCTGCAGTCAGAACTATGAGGAGACAATGGACCCTCTTCCATGAACAATATTGATAAAAAACAAAGACCACGCTCAACCCAACTGGATAGCTGAGTATATCAAATCTGAATTGATATTAGGAGTAGGCTCCCACATAGGCTGTGTCTCTTCTACCAACATCTGGGAAAAAAACATCCACAGACCCAGGTAAGAGGGCCCCCAACTTCATCCTCTTCTCCAAGAGAGAAAGAATTCACTCTAACACCCTGAAGGAAAAGCTTCTGTCTACCACCCCAGTGACTGGAAACTGGGTGTGGTAAGGACTCCCTAGCTCCACTAATAGAATCTGAGGGGTAATGCACATTGGGGAGTCCTGAGGAACAGTGCTATGGAAACAGTGCAATAGATGAACCAAGTTTCCTAAACTTTTAAAAGCAAACCAGCCCCAAACTTATTCAATCCAATGATTGGAAGGGATGGGCAGGATCCCCTTATGCTTTACTCATAATAGTCCATGAATAGCAGTCCAGCATAGTACAGTAATACTACCCGGTCAGCCTCTAGGTGGTCATATGGAATATCTCATTTCTACAGAGCCTGTTTCAACCTGTATAAGTATATTGAATTAGTGGTTGCTAGTGTGGAATTCATTTGATAAAAGCACACCTGTGTGGGCAACACTCACCACAGAGTGGGATCCTGTGAAAACAAGGTAAGGGATCCTGAAAGGTAGCAATGAAAATATTCACCCCTCTGTATAATCTAGCGGAAGTGGTTAAAATAGTTAAGGGGGTAGGCAAAATCCCTCAAATGAAGATACTGCCAGATCATGCAAATAATGTGAGATACAAGTATTGGGGGAGGTCCACATACCAGTATGCACAATGTCCTCCAGCGGGAAATAAAAATTGTTTTCTAACATCTCTAAAGGGATTAGTGCTAGCAACTAAACCTTCAAAACCCTCACTGAACATGACAACAATCCAAAATCTGATTGGTCATAGAAGTGAGAATAGTGATAAGATGAAATGGTGAAAAGGATTATCCCCTTCCCTGTCTTGGGTAAGAAGAATCAGTAGAATGATAAACTGGTCTGTGGAAATATAGCACAAACCACTCCGATCAGTGATATATGTAGGTCAGCAACAATAAACCTTCAGGTCACAAACAGGTGTAGAGAAATGGAATGTAATGTAACCTTAATATACCAGTTAGGTAACTGTAATGGTCGTTTGGGACAAATGACCCAAAGTGACTTAAGGAATCTGGAGAGTTCCTGGGGCTCAAAGAATATTTTGTCACAAGTATCGAACGGTAATCAATAAGGCCACGTTATACAGGGCAATTGTGGAAAATGCAAAAACCCTTACCAAAGAGCTAGGTCAAAAACGAGTTATGGTTTGTACTTCTGATTGAAGTGGGTTCAATCTCCTCTCAATACACCATTGCCAATATGTGTGTCATTTCCTTTGAGAAATGTCCATTACAGAACTAAGCAAAGACTGAGACAGATACATGGCAACCCTAGAAATTAAACCACGATGCTGTGCAAAAGACTGCATAACTTCTATACTTGAAGTACTATGTCAAATCATGGCTGCCTCCATAGAGATGGACACTCCTGAAGGTACCACAGAAACCAGGGTATAGTTGCCATTCCGGTGCTATCAACAGGACCAACAATGGGTTGGAACGAATCATAGTTAGTACCTTGAGTAACATATGAATTGGAGGGAAGGCCTAGAATTGTAATCCCATCCAGTCCTGTCGAAATGTATCCATTGCCAAAGCTTGAAAGTGAGGTATTAGAGACCAAATTGCCAGTAGTTGGGTGTTCCAATGAGTGGCCAACCCACCATTCAATCAGTATTGCAAAATGAGAGCCAATCCAACAGAACCTCACGATGCAGCATCTATTCTGTTAAGATAATCTGTTTAGGTTGAGACAACTGATCTGCTACTGCAGTCATCATTCGTGGAACATGGCAAGCTAGTAGGGTGATATGATAGGAGTGTTCCGAAGAAAGGAGGTCCAATATTCTAAATAAGGAGCCCTGGACCAAGTGTGTCCGCAATGAGAAACATAAGACACCACCACATAATTGTAAGAGGAAAGCCTGATAACTGTCCCCTTAATAAGCCCAGACTATGAGGCATTGCCTTTTGAAGAGCAAAAATGACTAAAACATTGTGTAGGAAAGCCTCATCATCCATGCATATACCCTGGAATTCCTGACTGTTGGTATATCCACTCCATCCCTGAATCAAAGCATTCGTGAAGAGATGGAACTCTGGATGAGGCGGCGGCAGAGGAACCCATATCTTAGACTTAACAACCCCTCAAGATCACAGAATGATTCTAACTAAGGAAACTGGGGAATCCAGTGAATCAATGTTTATGATCCCTTGGTCACATAAAAATCATTAAAAGGTTCGCTTTTGCTCTCATCCCAAAGACATGAGGGATTCGAGTGATACCCACATTCCCAGAAGAGAAAGAACCATCTATGCAGTGGGAGAAGAAGAGGTAAGATTTGGGCCAGTGTGAAGCCAGATGGGAGTCAGCTGAGCCAACTGAGAAACGTGATGAAAAATAATACCCAGACTTATGACATAGTGAATTGGAGCAAGAGTAAATGTCTCAGCCTTGGTTGTTTCTGAAAGTAGAATCAGAATGTGATGTTCTGACAATTGACGAGATGGTGCCAGCAGTAACCAGTCGTTTATGGAATGGTGTGGACAGTGCTATGGAATTGAGGTGAGGGTAAAAAACTTGTATGATTTGGCAGAACCCATGTGCACAAAAATGCAGATAGTAGTGGGACACCACCACTATGGCAATTTGCAGATAGGAGCCGACTATAACGAACTTGGACATCCACAAACCCAGTAAAAAATGTCAACTCAGATTGAGGAATGACTAATTTGTGAACCTGGGAAAATCTAGGCATTGATATAGACAAGAAAGACAGATGACTGAACACCAATCTCCTGTCTTCTTAGGCCCAACAACCGATGAGAATAAAACCACAGAAGGACTAGCATGGCTCTCCCAGACCAACCAACCAAACTCTGATAGCCCTAGAACTACGTTCCAAATCCCAAGGATCTGGGGGAGACGTAAACCCTTCAGGTACGGTGGATAATAATGGTGAAGATGTGAATTGAATGACTAATTCTGACTCAAGGACCTGTAGTGCTCCTGGATCCGTGGTTATGGTTACCACACATTCAGAAATTCTTGAATCCGAGCACCCATTAACTCCAAAGGCAAACAATAATCACCGACACCACTGGCAGCGATCCGACCGAGCAGAGGAACCCTCGAATATAGACAGAATCTATTCTGGATACCAATGTACCAAGGGGCTGATGTCAAAGAGAGGCAGAACTATGACCCCCTGTAGAAGCCAATGAAATTCGAGATGCCAACAACAATAGGAATGAATGTAGCAGCCGACAATTGAACCAACATACATGCTAACAATGGTTCCAGCTTGTCATCAATGAAGTTGGTGATCCTGATAGTCTTTCAACAAAATGTAGTGTAAGGAAATCAAAACATTAGATTTTAGAGTTGTAAGGGCATTGATCTATTCAGGTTAACTACAAACCCGAGGAGCAGATGTATTATTTAAGGGTCAGAATATGTTTCCACCTGGCAGTATTAGGCTAAATCACGAAATTGTGCCAACCATGTTGGATAAGGCACAACTGTCCCTTCACGTAACTGAGCAGTAAACCTCCCTGCATGAACCACAATGTCCGTGGATGGATAGAAAACTAAATATTCGCAGTCCTTTCAGCCATCAAGTGAGGCGCAGGCTAAAAAAGCAACTGGGGAAAGACAAAAGCCATCACACTCTCGGTGAATCCACTGAAGGAAACAAATCAAAGGCAGCTTATCCCGAAGTGTTTTTGTTTTATATTATAATTATTAAGACTGTGTTAATTATAATTATTAAGACAGTTTATGGGAACAACATTTACTCAGATAAGTTTGTTTTGTTAGACAATCGTAAACTCACCACACTGTCCCACACGGGGACAAGAAAACCAACAGATTAAAAGAAGGCACAGGAATAAGCAAATCTAAATTCTTCCCAAAATATCGAAGCTCACCCTCAACTGCAGCCACGGACAACACTTAAAGTATCTCCGAACAATTGTAGCACTGGGAAACCTGTTAATGAAGCTCTGTTGAGAAAAAGTGCTAACATTATCTGAACAAGATGCTCACATACAGTACCAGGATAGAGGATACACTGATGTAGGTGTCACAAAACAAATATTGCCAAAAGCAATTAAATGGGGTATAAAAGACTGAAGCAAGCAAGAAAAAATCAGATCAATGCTTAGATGTGCAAAGGAAGTAACCCTGGCAGTCGAGTAATAGCTGTAAGCGATAGTAGAGGTAAGTATGTTTTGGAAAAAACATTTCTGTTAATACACATATCTAAGAGTTAGAATTTCTAGTCAGTTTAAAAATTTATTTACTCTCCCCCCCCTCCAGACAAGAGAGTGCTAAGAGTAAAATGTTTGTTAAAAAAGCTGAAAGATTTCTTTAAACACTTACTGTAACTCCTGCTCCTCTGGAATGTATATTAGCAAGAACACTTGAATCTGTGTCCTCTACTATAATTACATCTCCATCCTGAGAAAGGGATGTAGTCAACTGCCTTGTGAAAGTTCTGTTGATTCCATCTAGTGGTAAATACAACAAAAAATTAATTATTAGTTTACTCACAACTAGCTTGTAAAGTCTTACATCTTAATTTTACATAACTGAGACCATAGTTTTGAGGATATACATATAAACTAGCACTGTTTTTCCCAAATATCAATTTTTTTGGTCCTTAGTGTATTAAGAAGGTATTGACAGACAACTTCCATAAATAACTGTTTAGTTAACTTGCCTTAGGCTTACCTCCTATATTGTATGACCAGTTTGCCGGACTCTAGAATACGTTTCAACTGGCTAACAGTATTCTCAGAAAGCAGTCTCATTTCCAGAGGCAGAGGAATAATTAACCAAAGCCAGAACATGCATGTTTTCCATTGATAATTCTGCAGCTATAAGAGTCTAAATGAATAACTTGACAATGTCAGACAATAAAGTACTTCTCTAAAACCATTACACTAATTCTATAGAAGAACGTGGCCAAGCCAACCACAAGGAACATCAAGTCAAATGGCCAGAATAAAACTTTACCAGCAAAAACGTATGCACAAGCTCCAAGATGGCCAACTATAAATTTCATCCACATAGCTAAAAGAAAGGACTGACAGTAAACTCTTCCCAATAATCAGGAGTTCACTGATGAAGATCTCTAGATGGGCTAACAATAAACTCAACATAGAATAATAAATAGGAACTCAAAAAGAAAGACATATTGCATGTAGAAAGCAACATGAATGGATTCCACAAGGACAAACAACACACTGTATATAGAAACTGTCAAAAAAGAAACTCCAAAAAGACCAACAATAAACCATGTGTATAAAGCTACAGAAAGGAATTCCAAAAAACACCAACAATAAAATGTGTGTATAATGCTACAGAAAGGAATTCCAAAAACACCAACAGTAAAATGTGTGTATAAAGCTACAGAAAGGAATTCCAAAAATACCAACAATAAAATGTGTGTATAAAGCTACAGAAAGGAGTTCCAAAAACACCAACAATAAAATGTATGTATAAAGCTACAGAAAGGAGTTCCAAAAAACAATAATAAAATGTGTGTATAAAGCTACAGAAAGAAATTCCAAAATGACCAACCATAAACTATGTGTATAATGCTACAGAAAGGAACTCCAAAAACACCAACAATAAAATGTGTGTATAAAGCTACAGAAAGGAGTTCCAAAAACACCAACAATAAAATGTGTGTATAAAGCTACAGAAAGAAATTCCAAAAAGACCAACCATAAACTATGTGTATAAAGCTACAAAAAGAAATTCCAAAAAGACCAACCATAAACCATGTGTATAAAGCTACAGAAAGGAATTCCAAAAACACCAACAATAAAATGTGTGTATAAAGCTACAGAAAGGAATTCCAAAAAGACCAACCATAAACTATATGTATAAAGCTACAGAAAGAAATTCCAAAAAGACCAACCATAAACCATGTGTATAAAGCTACAGAAAGGAACTCCAAAAAGACCAACCATAAACCATGTGTATAAAGCTACAGAAAGGAACTCCAAAAACACC